TAAATTGTCCAAGACAGAGCCAGGATTTAAACCCAAATCGGCCTGACCCCAAGGCTTTTGTGACTAACTGCTTCTGTTGCCTGAACCCCAGGGAGAGGACCCTCCCCGGGGGGACCAGAGAAAAGATGTGTGTCCGGGATGGGAGTGGGAGGAGGGCTGTCACAGTATTTAGCCGAGGTTAAGAGCCCAAGCCTGATGGTCACGTAGTGTTGTGATTCCATTTATATGAATTTCCCAGAATAGGCAAATGCACAGAAACAAGAAAGTAGACTCGTGGTTGCCAGGGGCTAGACGAAGGGAAGAATGCGCAAGGGAAGCAGGGGAGGTAACTGTTTCATGGTGTGGGATTTCTTTTAGGGGTGATGGCAATGCTATTGAATTAGATAGTTGTGATGACCATACAACATCCTGGATATACTAGAAAACACAGGGTCATACATTTTCATTTATTTATGTTTTAGTAAACTTGACGCCCAATAGGGAGCGTGAACTGACAGCCCCGAGATCAAGAGTTGCACGATCGGCCGGCTGAGCCAGGCAGGCGCCCTGATAGGTTATGTGCATTTAATCTCAATTGAAAAAGAAGAGTACACACTTGAGACCATTCTGTCCAGATCTGCATCTCCACTGCGCCGTTCCCGAGCTGTAGGGGACCCTGGGCAGGTGACCCGCCTGGGCCGCAGTGCTTTACCTGGCAAATAGAGGTAGTAACCAGTACCTATCTCAGAAGGCTGTGGTCCGCACATAAAGAACCCAGGACAGTACCCGGCATCTAGAAAGCACCCCGCATTAGCTATAATGATGTTACTACAAAGACATGGTAGTGCTTTAAGGAGCTTCAACCTCGGGGCCTCCCTCCCCACAGTACAGGTGTTTGGGGCATCGGACTGGATGGATCAGGGGAGGGATTCTGAACTCATTCTCAAACCTCACCTCCCAAGATCCTCCAAACCGAGTCGTCTGAGAGCCCGCTCCCCTAGACAAGCCAGGGTCCCAGGAACCACTCCTGGGCGCCCCCCATCCCCTGGGGGTCTGGCCTTAGGCTGGAGGCCGCGGCGGCCTCGGTGGCGATGCGAGCTGCAGCGCGCCCCCTAGTGGCACCTGCGCGCACACGGGGCCTGGCCGCCGCGGGAGGTGCCAACCCAGCCCGGCGCCGCCGCTGCCGCAACCCGCAGCTGCTTTTCAATCAGCTCGTACGTACTCCACCAGATAAGGGGCTTTCTGTGTGTTCTTTTCAATTCTAGGAGGTAGGTAGTGTTTCCATTTTACAAGCGAGGAAACCGATGCTAGGAAAAGGCTCAGCAGCCAGCCCACCTTCTCCCAGCAGGTCAGAGCTGGCCCTGGTCCATCAAACATCAGCTCAACTCCGGATTCCAGAACTCTCGTCTGCCACATGCTCTTCAGGTTTGGTGGAAATGAGGGTAGCCCACGGAAGCATCTGCAGACTCCAGTAAGTGTCAGAACTGGCTCTGTGTTGTAGGAAGGCAGCCCCACCTCCTGCCCCTGGCCCCAGGCCCCCAGGAAATGGAGGGGGAGGTCGGAGGCTCCTTCTAGGGCCCATTAGACAAGGCTGTGGGTGCTTTGCTCAGTAACCCCTCTTTTTCCAGTCTCACTGATGTTCTGACTCAACCAATATTGATTGTAGGCCTACCTTGGATGCTGTCTTCCAAGCTGGATGTATAATGGTAAACGGGAAAGGAGGTGCCCTGCCTCCAAGCAGCTCACCACCTCCTCCTCCTTCTTAACTCACAGCAGAACACCTTTGCTGGGTTTGGGAACACTTTAGTAATTTGTAATCCCATTACTCCAATGAGTCATCCCAGGGCCCGGGCCTTGCCCATTCACCTATCCAAGGGACAGGTATGGGCTCTGGGTATTATGACTCCCCCTGCAATCCTTTCCCTGGCTGGAGCCGAGGGCCAGCACGCACACCATGACAGCATGGGAGGGGATGCAGGGGAATTATGGAGGGATCCCCAATGTATTAAGTTCCCCACCCTGATGTCGGAGTCATGGAGGGAAAACAGGGCCCAGGACCCTCCCCCCATGCCCCCACAGGCATATTTTAAGAATTGAAAGAGTTTTTAGGCTGGGGAGGGAAGTGGGGCAGACACCTGCAGGAGAGAGGGAAATAAATAACCACTCTTCTTTTGCTTGCCCTCTCATTCCCCCCTTCCCTGCTGCCGGGAGTTAAACAAAGCCCTGAAACCTGACATTGGGCTAGAAGGGCCTACCTGGTACAATTCCTGCCTGAACAGCAAGTCCAGAGGACTGGAAGTTTTCAGAAGTCTCCAATTCCCACTGGCCTTCTGATGAAGAGAGAGAGAGGGAGAGAGGCGGAGGCTGGGGAGAGAACACCAGCCCTGTAGTCCTTGCATGCTCTGTTTCTGCTGAGCTCCCAGCTGAGTTATGCAGCACAGTGTCCTTGACCATGTGCCCACACCCAGGGGATGACAGTCAGTTGTGGGTCTGGGTACCTGTGTTCCTGTATGTGTTTCTTTGGGGTAGCTAAGTATCTAAGTATCAATTTGTCTCTTATGAGTCCATTTGTGCTTTTGGAGATGTCTGTGTATGAGTCTGTCTGTGGCATGGGGAATGTGTGCGCTTTTTTTTGGCCTCATGTCTTGGGTTTGTGGTTGTCTCTGCAATGGGGAACCTGTTTGTAAGTGTTTCTAAGAGGGTCGTTTTGCACCTGTGGATCTTTGCTGCATGTTTACTTGTGAGTACTTTTATAGGTGTCTATAGGCCATGTGTGCTTATAACTGTGCTTGGGGTTTGTGTATGTATGTGTGCTTGTAATTGTGAGGATGGGTGGAGTTGGCCGCTACACTTGCCTGGGCTGTCCTGGGCCAAGCTAAAGATAACCTAACTACCTTTGCCCACAGGGACCTTTCTCAGTTGGCCAAAGTTCTTCCCAGGTATTTCTGCTCCACCTATATCCACCCTCCAGATCCTGAATACCCAGCCAGAGAGGGCAGGGGAAGTGGCTGACTACAAGCACCATGCTCCAGATGCTCCAGGCCCCACCTGTGCAGGGAGAGTGTGTGGAGGAGGATATTGGGCAGTACTTACTGCTTTTCTGTCCCCACCAGGTCCCCTTCCAGCCTGCTAGATTGGTCCCCAAGTCCTTTCTCCTCCAATCTAGGAATTGGAGTGTCACTGGGACATGTATCACATGTGGGAACATGTGTCACTGGGGACACTTTGCCTGATTCCAGCCCATCCCCTACTGGCTCCCGCGGGCCTGGCTGGACCAACCTCTGACTTCCTTCACCCCTTCCTGAAGTAGCCCACTGCACTTGTATTTGAGGAACGATTCTAGATCCGTGCTCCAGAAAAATCCCAAGTAGAGAACAGATCAGAGCTAGGGGACAGAGGCATTCCTGCTGGCTGCCAGCATCCTTCTCTCTGAGTCCAGCCCCAGAGGAGGTGTGGGGTGGAGGCTCCCCAGCTCAGAGTTTCTTTCCAACTCCATCTCCCCTGTCCCCTTCACTCACTTATTCTCTCAAAGCTGTGTGTGATCTTGATCAAATGACCTTACATCTCTGTGCCTCCATTCCATCATCTATAAAATGGGGATACAACTGGTACAACTCAGAGTTGTTGTGAAGACTAACTCAGGGGCACAGGTCTCTGCCAGTGCAGCTGGTCCACCGCTTCTGGTATCACTGTGTTTCAGTCTCAAGACACTACCATTCCTCCAGCTCCACCTAGTTCCATATGCCTTTTGGCCCACTCTTGGGTAGCCAGGACTTTCCCCCACAAATCAGACTGGCAAGGAGAGGAGATCTTGGAAAGAGAGATTAGTGACATTTATGCAGTTTCCATACATATTTTTTTCATTCAACTCTACACCCCCTTATGAGATAATTATAATTTTTCTCTATTTTAGATGATGATGAAGGAAGCATCAGAATGGTTAAGTAACTTGCTCAAGGTCACACAGAGGGTGAGGAGCAGAGCCCAAGGGCTGTACCTCTCCCCTGTGCCCTACTGTTGCCTTGGAGGGCAGCTTTTTAACAGTAGCACCTAAGGTGCTACAGGAGGTTTAGAGGGGGCTGGTAAACAGTTCTGCCTAAGGTCACACAGAGAAGCAGAGCCATCCAGGACGATCCGCATCTATACCTACGTTCACAGAGCTGTAAGCCCCGGCTCAACCGGGACTGAAGTGTTTGAGATTTTTCCCATTTAGGGAGTTTTCTTTTCTTTTCTTTTCTTTTCTTTTCTTTTCTTTTCTTTTCTTTTCTTTTCTTTTCTTTTCTTTTCTTTCTTTCTTTCCTTTTTTCTTTTCTTTTTATTTTTGGAAACATCCCCACACTTTGAAGGCACAGGTAATAAGGACCAAGGCAGCCAAAAGCGAGAGGCCTCAATTCAATCAGATGAGAAAGCTGACACAGCCAAGCCAAGGCGAGCTGAGATACATTTCCTTCGTTTTTGAAAAGGAAGACTGGGCAGTCTGCGCCTGCAGCCACGTTCCCGCCGCCGGGTTTTCCAGCTCGCCGGGCCGCGCGTCTCGCGAGCACCCCCCTGAAGGGCCCCCGGCCTGGGCGGAGGCCGCGCCGCGCCGCGCCGCGCAGCGCCGGCCGTCGGCTTCCCCCCTCCGGGGCCCCGCCCCGGCCCCGCCCCCGGCCGCCCGGCCCCGCCCCCGCCCCGCCCCCGCCGCGCGCCGTCCGCCCGGGCTCGCCGACCGACTAGGGCGAGCGGGCGGCGGCGCTCGGCATTGTGGCAGGCGGCGGGGGCCGGCGAGGGCGCCGGGGCCGCGGGCGGCGGCGGGGCGCGGGGAGGCGCGGGGCCGGCCGCCGCGGGGGCCGCTCGGGGCGCTCACCTGCCGGCGCGTAACTTCGGAGCCGGGGCGCGCGAGCCCGCGGAGCGCCGGGGCGCAGAGGGGCGCAGAGGGGCGCAGAGGCGCGCGGGAGCCCGGCCGGGAGAGCGGGCGCCGGGCCCCACGGACGGCACGGGCTGGCGCGGCCGGGCGCCGGGAGGACGGCGAGGCGGCGGCGGCGGCGGCGGCGGCGGCGGGGCTGGGGCCGGGGAGCGAGCCCCGCGGGAGAGGCGCCCGAGCCTGGCCGCGGGAGCATGTGGGCCCGGAGCGGAGCGCGGGGCGCGCTGCTGCTGGCGCTGCTGCTCTGCTGGGACCCGAGGCTGAGCCGAGCAGGTAGGGAGCGACCGGGCACGGGGCGGGGGGTCGGGGCCCGCTGCGCCCGCGCCGCCCCGAAGTTGGAGCGGTCACGCCGCGTCCGCCTGCTCGGGGCAGGCGCAGGGGCCGCGAGTGAGAGGGCAGCTCTCCCCGGCGCACAGCCACCCCGCGGGGGCGCGGCCGGGTGCCCCAGAGGAAGCGGCAGGGCTGGCCTCCGGGGGACGCCGGGTTCCCCGCACCGGCGGCGGCAAAAACCGAAAAGGCGAGACTCCCGCTGCTCGGGCCAGGTGTGCGCTTGCTTGCGGTTCGCCGGCAACTTCCCAGCCAGCCGTGGCGGGCGGCCCGTGCAAGCTCCTTCGCGCCGCGCCCCCGAGACCCGCAGACGGGAAGGAGCGAGAGACCCGCGGGGCGCCCCGCTGGCCGTGCGAGGCCGAGGGGGAGGGCTGGACACTGCTCCTACGGCGTTCCCCGCGACCGCAGATCCGCAGGTCTGGACGATTCTCTCTCTCTCTCTCTCTCTCTCTCTCTCTCTCTCTCTCTCTCTCTGGGGTTCGGTGTGTGTTGGGGTGGGCGCAGAGTACCTAGCGCTCCTGCCAAGTTCCCTTGTAAATGGGTCACGGACATCCCCCCACCGCACCGCCCGTCCGGGGAGCCGGCGCGAGATGCGCTTGCCTACAGTGGGCCTGCAGGATGCGTCAAGGGGGTTGGTAGGCTCCTAAAATAAAGTCCCTAGCACCACCGGCACCACCCCCTCGCCCTGGTTGTGCACACCTCTCGCTCGCCTGGAGCTGGGCCCGCGGTGGGCCCGCGCCGCCGACTGGGCTGCGACTTCTAAGGCGAGCGGGTGGACGCACGGGAGCCCACCTGCCCTGGGTGCGGGAGCCCGAGGAGGTGGGCGGCGGCGGCGGCGGCGGCGGCGGCGGCGGCGGCGGCGGCGGCTGGACGCCTCGGCTCCTGGGGCGGGGCTGGGGCGGGGGATCGTCCCGCGTGGAGCCCTCCGAGTCGGGGCTGAGAATGGGGCAGGAAAGCTGGCGCAGAAAGCGGACGAGGTGACGCAGCCCTCCCCCACCGCCCTCCGCCGGGATGCTGGCGTCCGCCCCCCGCTGCACCCCAATGGCCAAAGACTCCTCGCTCTGGAATTAATGATTCCCACGGCCTGGGAGCGAGGGCTTGGTTTTAGCACATCCTCCACTCCCCCCCCCCCCAGCCCTCTGTTGTAAAGTTACGACACAATCATTTGATCCGAGTTAATTACGATTTGGGCAGACTCTGGTATTTAAAGCAGTGTTTTGAAGTTGGAAGGTAATGATGGGGGAGGGGGCAGGCTGCTGAATGACCAACCTTGTTTTAAAGAGCGCAGTTGAATGTGGGAGTTGCTGGGCTGGGGTGTTGGTTTCTGGTTTGAGGGTGTTTGAGGGGAGGTGATTGAAGGGTAGGGTGAAGCTTCTGTAAACGCCACTTGGGCAGGATCGGGGCTTGGGAAACTGTTTTAGAACCAGCCGCGCAATGGGATCAGGGATAAATACTGAGGTTACAGGGGAGGAGAGGGGAGGGGAGGGGAGGGGGGAGGGCCTCCGCTGGGCAGGAAAAAGGCAAGACTGGTTGGCCTAGAGTTGGGCTGGGGAGGCTGGGGGTGGCCTGCCTTTCCTGCTTAACAAAGCATCCAGCCCCCACCTTCCCCAGAGGAAACCCCAGGCCCAGGGCTTTGATGGATTTGGGCACAAACGGAGCCCAGCCAGAAGTGGCCTCTAATACCGGGCTTTGATTTCTCACTAGTGAGCAGAACCGGTGTTGGAATTGTGCTTGTTACTTAGCACGGCAGGGGCTGCCTGCCCACCAGCCTACAGTGGGCCCAACTGGTGGGGTCCGTGTGCAGTCCCCCCTCTGCCCAGAATCTGAAGCCCTTAGAAAATCTGCCTTCAAGGAGGGGAGAACATGCCCCCTCCTCCTACGCAGCCCGTTTCTCCAATGCCACAGGCACAGAACATCTGTCGGAATGTTCTTGGGGTCTGCCCAGTGGATCCGTCACGAGTCCCCATTTCACTGCTGGGGAAAAGCAAGGCCACAGTGTTGGCTCTTCTCAATCTTGCTTGACCACAGATGGCGGACTTGCGTGCAGGACTGCTCCTTTCTGATGGCCAGGCTGGTTCAGGTCACACTGGACGCCTCCTCGTGGCCCCATCCACCTCTGCCTGAAGGCATATATCAAGCTGATGGAGATAAGGCTGTCTCCACAGAGCGGGGCTCTCTCTGGGAGGTGTCCAAGCTCCGTCAGGTGGCAGGCACTTTGTCTCTTTTCCCTCACCCCCCTTCCCAGTGGATATGGGGATGAGCTCCCTTTACAGCACTAAGGGATTTTTAAGCCATAAAGTTTGATGGTGGAAAAATCAAACCCGGAACCATAAAATCCAGACCCTTAGAAGGAGGAGGTGTCAGCAAGTGACTGGCCAGCAGAGGCCACTTCAAAAGCCCCTGTTGGCCCTCGGGATCTCCTCTCACCGTACCGTTAGCCTTTCCAGGAGTTTTTAAAGAGTCTTGCCTTGGCTTCTGGCTGGGATGGTTGAGAAGGGACCATGGAATCATGATAACACATCTTTTTAAGATGCAATTAAAGTCAGAGTTTTCCCAGTGTCTCTGCTGTGTGTGCATGTGTGTGCATGTGGGTGGGTGTGTGCATGTGGGTGGGTGTGGTGCGGTGGCCCATTTTGCGTCACCCTCTACACTGTAGCAAACACCCATCTCAAACAAATGGAAAATCAAGAGTGTCTTAATGTGCTTTCTCATTAAAGTGAAAGTATCACTGCAGGGGAAGAAATTCGGAGGTAATTTCTCTCCTCCCTCCTCTCTCCACCCCCACCCCAAACTGGGAATTCCAGAGGACAAAACAGTTCCCCTCTTTTCCAACCCCTTTCCTTAACTGCTGAAGCTTTGGGACAGGCCCTGACTTGCCCTGGGGGGGTGGGAAGGGGGGTATACATGGGGACTCGGGGCTAGATCTGGAATCTGAACTCAGGCCTCACAAACCTCAGGCTAGTTCTGGCTCCTTCTTTCCACCTGTCTGCATGGGTCTGGGACTGAGCTGCTGAATTGAGGCCCTAGGGAAGGCAGGCTGCTAAAGATAAGGTTTGTTTGGTAGTTAGGTCAGACTGAGACTTGTAGTGGGATGGGGAAAAGAGGTGGAGTCAGGAATGCTGACCCCAGACAGGTGTAATAGGGCTGGGCCAGAGGTCAGGCCCTGAGACTAGTCAGGTGCCCAAAGGTAGCTCCACCCCTGATCCCTAACCCATCCCAGGTGAGATAAACCACAGGCCAAGCTCCCTTGGATTGTGGGACTAGCTGGCTCTACATTTTAAAACTCTGCCTTCATTTGTATAGATGGGACAAAATATATTTTTAGTTTTTATTTTGAAGCTTTGGGGAGCCCATCTCCTCCACACCCACTCTGTTGAGTTTCTGGCTGTCAGGCCTGAGATGAGATCTTCCCATCTCCCCTTCCCTTCCTCCCCATACTCTTCTAAAGAGGGTGTGGGCTGCCTAGGACTTTGGGAATGAGGGTAGAGAAGGACTCCCTCATTCCAAGTGCTTAAGAGAGTAAGGTTAGTGATTCTAAAGTGTCCATCCTGGAGCCCTCCTCCCTCTAAGTGTGTTCTTCTGACCCTCAGCCCTGGGGTGGGGTGGCAGGGAGACATCCATCCGGGAGCCCACCTAGCAAGGCCTGTAGGTAAGGAAGGGAGGCGGAGTCATGGGACTTGAGGAGTAAAGAGAACCTGCCACCAAGGCCGAGTGGCCCCCAGCAGAGAAGGGAGGGTGCGGGCATCCGAGGCCACAGCCGAGCCTCTCAGGGCCTCCTCTTCCTTCTCCTCCTCACCAGTTTCCTAAACAGCTTCCACAAATGGAGTCATTAAAACTGTGAAGGCAAAATGAAACCAAACAAGTGCCTTCTGTGCTTTTCTGTTTCTTGTCTTTATTTTTTTTAAAGGGAAAATTAAAATACCGTAATTAGAATAATAGGAGGAAGGGCAGTTTCAGGAAGGTCGAGGGAATCAGGTGCACTGGCCCCTTTGATTTGCTTCCCGAGTTGGGGCTGGGGCCCCGGCTGCCCCGGGGGATGTCTCCCCACCCTCATTATGGGGAGCCGGGCGCCCCGGAGCTGGCCAGGGCTCCCGGCTGTAAGCTGGGCACGCGGCGGATTCGCACTCAGCCCCGGGCCCCCACCGGCCAGCCTGTGCAGGTCCCGCGGTGCCCCTTGCTCTCCGCAGCTTTTTCTCTCGATACTGGCAGCAAAAACACATGCTGGAGTGGCGCATACAGCAGCGGGTCCCCGCTCCCCAGCCCTTTCCTTCCCTCCCTTCTCTCCGAAAGCGAAAGCGCCCGACCTGATCAGCGCCTCCTGGCCCGGCATGGAGTGGGCTCGGGGTGGGCTCCGTGCCTCCATAGTGGCGCTTACCTGGGGCCACGCATCTGGGCGCCCCGCCCCTCCACCCTGCGCCCCCTGCTCCGCCGTCCCCCTCTCCTTCTCACCCTCTCCTTGCATCCCCTTACCTCCCCTCCCCTGCCGAGCTGAGAGCCCTGGGAGAGGTGGGGGGAGAGGGGGAGCCTCCTGGAGCTCCAAGCCACCTGAGCAGCTGAGGATACCCAGCCCAGCCTCCATCCTCACCTCCCAGAACCGCCCCGGCTGCCCCCAGCGCCTCACAACTTTCTCTGCGGGGCTAGGCCCCGGTTCTCCGGGAAGGCAGGCTGTGGGTGTGAGAGTGTGTATCAAGGACTGTCGGTGTTGTAGGGGTGAGAATGTGTATTGCGGAGGTGGGAGTGTGCAGTGGGAAGGGAGCGTAGGTGTGGTGTTGCGTTGGGGTGTTGGGGAATGGAGATGAACGTGCAGGACCAATAGATGTGGCGATGAGGGTTGTGCCTTTTGTATATGGGTACGTGCGATGGAGGTGACTACGTGTGTTTGGGGGTGTGGGGGTGTGTGCATATGGGCACAGCTGTGGTGTGTTTGTGTATAAATAGGTATGTGT